GTACATTTTATGAAAGGCCGTAATATTTACGATTTTTATTAAAATTTGTTTTTAAAACTTATAAAAAAAATATAATAAAAAATACTACATTATACTCCTTTTTTTTTCAAGTAGAACTTATAAATCGTCTATCAAATTTTCAATCATTTCTGTTAAGTCTTAAACATTTTATCCATGGAGTATCTACCGAATAAAAATGACGTAAAAACTATCAAAATTAAAATGTCTATAAATAGTTTAAAAAGGAATCAAATGGCCTCTTTTCGTTTTTCTATTGAAGCAATTTGTATGGTAGAAGATAACCGAACAATTTTAAATAATAAAATCATAGCTCCGTAATTTGAAAAAAAAACGTATTTTTTGATTTTTCCAATTCTTTTGAAAACTATTTTGGATTTTAAAAAATTACTTTTTCTAACGGTGACTGTAATATGTTAAAAGGAACAAAAACGATCTCTTGTCAACTTTTGATAGGAGCAATATTTCTGGTAGAAAACATAAGTAGTATAAATTCAAGACAATGAAATTGGTAACGTCGCGGCGTGCTGTAAATATTTTCCGTTTTATCTATAATTTTCTTTCCGGATTTTTCCAATTATTACGAAAACCCATTGGAAAATAAAAAAATAACATTTCTAATACATCAACTAGAAAAAATTTCCTTTCAGAAAAGGGACTATACTGTATAATCATCGGAGCAAAATGTCTTTTTGAAAAGTTGTTTATAGATTGAAAAAAAAAGAAAAAACCACGCATAGGAATGCTAAGTTCCGAATCTAAAATTATTTTGATATAAGATCTAAACATTTCTATTTATTTATTTATTTTTAAAATTTATTAATCAAATAAAAATGCGTTGAACAAATACAACAATTTATAATTCGATATATGTTTTTTACATTTATTAAATTTTGGTATGCACTCGTTTAGCTTGAAAAGATTGCGGGTTACGATCGCAAAAGACGAATAATAGCCCAAATACGAATAGTTAAACGTCAACTTGAACCATCGAAAATTGGAAAGGATACAACAAACACCATAAGTCGTGTATCGAAGGTATAGAATTTCATCATTTTTATTAGTAAACAAAATATCTAGTTTATTACTACTATTTAATACTACTTGCTACTATTTAAACACTGCCCATTGATTGTATAGACCGTTCGAGATGGTTCGCCAGCTAAGTTACAAAAACAAAATAACAGTAAAACCGTACACGAAGTTGATTTCGTGAACTCGAATCAGATTGATAACAAATCTGTGGGGGGAAAAAATACTAAGGACAAGTTTGAAAGTATCCTAAAAATATTTCGTCAAGAAAGTTTTGATCAAAATAGTAGGCGTTCGTCTAAAGAATCAAATGGATATGAAAAAATTGAAGGATCGCCACAATCTACGCCAAGATCAAATTTNAACCACCAAGAGAAAATAAAATACCTATTGATATTTATTCGGAGTTCTTTTATACCAATTATAGTCGTAGAAACGGGTGATACGAGCGAAGATATTGAAGCTCGTGCATTATCCAACAAGATTTTAGGTGCATCAGTAATTCCTCATGGAATGGAACAAGGAGAAATGTCTCCGATTTCTAATCAAACTGCAACGAAAAGCAGTGCTTCACTTGTAAACCAGGTTGAAAAACAAAGAGCTCAGGTACCTTTATGACTATAATTAGTATAGTCACTATATAATAATGATACATAGTTAAAAAAAAAATACTAATAGGTAGTAATAACTTGGAACAAATTTAGTAAAAAACCATTGGGTAATGCTTGAAAATATCCTCAGTGGAACATTATTAAATACATTTTATTATAGTTCACGCATTTATATTATCTAGGTACATTACGTTATATATGAAATGTATAACATTTTATAGATTTCAATAAATGTAATACAAATTTAAATATCTCGAGGACTACATAGTGTAAAAACATTTTTCTTATAGTTTAATACATTAGGAAGGTTAAATTTATTTTTCAGGTGCTTAGCTCCCATCCCTTTGAGGGATTTTAGTTAAATTAATTATAACATCAGTGATGATGTTATAATCGTTTTTTTTTTTTGTCGGTTGTTTATTGTGTGTAGAACCTGACCTGGTTCGAAAGGTATAGATAGGCCCACGCTTACGGTAGAATTTTTCAGGGGTAGCATTTAAAATTTTCGACTTAGTCTTTACGCGTATAAGGGCTGGCAAAACTTAAGTTTACTTATAGGTGTGTTAAAACGTTCGAGCCGGGCCTGTGTAGGATCTATACGGAAGTTTTACTCGCTATATAGGTCGTTACGGACGAGTTAAGGGTCGTCATCTTCCCCTTTGCCGCTTTATCGTCTTTTTCGGGTTAATGCTCGGGACACGATCAAGTCCGGATTGCGAAGAAAATCTTGACAGTAAACCATTATACTCGTTTGGTAATAATAATTGAATTCGTATCGACCCATTTTGTATGATTTCGGGCCGGTGAAAATGCTAGCTCGGTGTATACAGGTTTCGGTCCGACAAGTTATATGGGATATGGTTATTTTTTTTTTTTTACAATTTTTTTTTTAAATGACTAAAACACTTAAAATCAATCAATTACGTTCCTGCACGGGTCGAACTCGGATCGGAGTCTGTATATTTTTACGCTACTCGGTCTTAGTCGGCGGGACCGATTGCATTATTGTGCCAGTAATGTTTCTCGCGGGTTTCGCACGTTTCGTAATATTTATCGAACATTTGACTATTAAAACTGATAGATCACATGTTAACATGTTAAAATAATACTGACAATAAAAAAAAAAAAAAGGAAATCCGTTATTATGAATCACAAAATATTGCGCATGACACAATTTACTAATTGGTACTGGTTTTTTTTTTTTGTTTTTTTTTAGAAATCTCCTGTGACCAGGAACAATCTGAACAAAACGGAATTCGACAATATCTGGATCGAAAAACAATTGCATATTTTGGTCAGTACATATGCTATATAATATAATATTATTGTATACCTACCGTTCGTTAAACACGTGTAATCATTACCGTGTATTGGATTTGACTGCGTTGTTATTTTTTTTTAATCGACGCGCGTTTAATTATCATTTATATAGTTGGAGTCTTGCCCGGATTATGATCAAAGGAGACAAATCAGAGCCAGGTTAAGGCAAATCAAGGCGGAGCACAAAGGTAAACGCACATAATAATATCATATTAACACGCAGTATAATTGACTTTTAATTATTATTATTTCACGTTATTTCGTCGTTATTCGCCGTTATTTTAAATATATTAATTCCGCGTCGAGTTTCTGACATCGTTTCACTATAATGTAAATTCGTTATCAAATTTAGATTAGATTTTTTTTTTACTTTCGTGCAAAACGTTTGCTTTTAAATAGATGTAATATAATGATACGTGCGTATGTATATAGGAAACGAGCATTTTTATGAACGTGGCGGGATACACGGGACGATAGCCGCGTGAGAGAAAAAAAGAGAACTTAAGACCCGCATGACATGCTGTCTCACTCCAAATAACGTGCGATATAAAAAGATCTACCTTACGCAGTCTTCTACGCTTAATTTTGGTTTCACAGTAAAAGCACCTGTTGTCAAATTAAAAGGGGGCAATATTCCGGAGGGCAAGACGATACGTTTTTCCTATTTTCTGGTTATAACGTTCAATACATCGTTTACAAACGTGTCCCGAGTGATATCCATAAATAGTCCATGAACAGGATTATTATCATAATTAGCACGTAATTCTCGATTTTGTAATTTTCTAATCCATACGGTTATCGTTGCGTTCGTCTACACTGATTGCAGATTTACTGTTTGATATAAATTATTATTTAAAAAAACATACCTGGGAACAGTGTAAGACGGCTATAAAACAGGAAAATTCATTTTTGTATACTTTTATATTTTTTTTTACTTTGAAAGAAAAATGCTTAAAGTAGCCGTTGGTGACCCCAACCTAATGTAATTATTTCTAAACGTTGAAATGACTGTCGTGTTTGTCTGACTGACGCGAACAAAAAATGATTTATTTTCGATTCTGATCGAAGATAAGATTTTAATTTTACAAAGATGCGTGTGTGTGTCCCTTCATTCTTATCCGCTGGAAAAAAACTTTTTGACGAGTAATATGTTCCGATTTTTCAGAGCAAAGCAATTGGAGCAATCAGTTCGGTTGCATAAAGGCCACGTTTGAGCGGGGTACGCCGCAGACAACGGAAGTGTGTCCCAACAAAAATAACGTGGCAAAACAATATTTGAACAACATATGCAAATGTCCGTCGGAAAATAGCATTCCGTACAGGTCAAAAAAGATCACGTCGTTCAAACCCGTGGGGTCGGACGAGAACGGATTTTCGCACGTTGTCAAGTCCGTGTTTAAAGTGGCAGAGGCGGCCCAAAACCCGATTGTGCCCGGACCTCTACCGCTCCAAAGCGGAATTCTGGATTTCTGGCATCAAACGACGATGGGCCAGCGCAAAGCGGCCTCCCGGTCGACTGCTGCCGGTGCGCCGACGGCGGTCGGCGAGATGCAGCGGCCTCTCGTCAGTTCCGTAACCCCGTACGAGGGTTACTTGGCTGAAGAAGAAATCACACACGAACAAGATATCGTCCGGAAACATTTGCGGACAAACGAGTTACCCGTAAAACGGGCTTTGCCAAAATTGGTCAAACTAAACGATGACATAAACAAAGTGGACGAAACATTCGAAATTCTTTTTAAAGAGTCCTCCAAATAATAAATGCAGCCCTAATATGTTTAAATTCAAAAAATAAATTGATTATTTCTAGCTATGTATTAAAATTAATTTTTTTTTTTCGTTTTATTTATTATTCTATTATCTGTGTATCTATATGCTATAAATATTATTCATTTTTAACGTGCACTACATATTTATCACAATGTGTTTGTATTATACTATATATCCATATATTATTATTCGTAATATTATATCTATATGAGGATATCCAAAAAGCGAGTAGATAACATAAAAAAAAAACCAAAGAAATATTATCATCTCTGTATAGCTTCTCCGTGTACACATATTATATACCGCGTTGAACAGACAAAAGTACGTTCTTGTGCTCATGAATTATCGTTTTTCGAGTCAGGGGCGTCTCCAGACCTTGACTATGGGGGGGAGGGGGCGAAATAATTAAATTTAATATTTATGACTGATAAGTAAAAAAGGCGGACATCCTTCGCACGATGGGCGGACCAGTATTATAGATAAGAAGTTGAGAAGTAGGATATTGAGAGAAATTTAATATATATATATGTGCCTAAGCAAATTTAAGCATTGCCAACAAAAAATTATTCTGAGCGGAGCTCGGTAATAGTATTGCTCAGGGGCGTATTTGGATCAATTCTATGGGGAGGGGAGGCGAACAATTTTTACTATTGAATATCACTGCTTTGGTCAACAAAAATTTAAAACTTTTATGTTTCTCATGTAATTTCAGCTTATATCAGTTTAGAAGACTGCAGATATATTATACAAATGCAATAAAACAGTACAATTTAAAATTTAAATTATTTTTTCACATTAAATAAATAATAATTAAAATAATGATAATATGAATAATAGTAAAATAATAGTAATAATTATTAATAAAAGTTAGATGATCAAGTCCAAAATAAGTTAATTTTAAGTAGAATTTTGCATGTGGTTTGATTAATAATATTTTTTATATTAATGTTTTCATTTCGATGATAAATTTAAAAGTGATAATCCAGTTAGCCTCTACTCAACAATTTTTTTTTACCATAAAGTAGGACTTTTAATGAATCTCATGTTAAATTCTCTAGCATATCTGTTCGGTCTAACAATTTCATCCACAGAGTACCTAGTTTTATGAAAACTGACAGAAAAAATACAAAACAAACAAATCACAGTAAAACAAATAGATCCGTAGCAACGCTCTGAATCTAAAAATGTATCGTGGTTAATCGTGGTTAATCGTGAAAACGTAACAAATAGACTTATTTTCACATTTATCTATTATTTGCATATTTGCCCGGTTAAAGACGGTTATTTGTTATAAATTATTACAATTTTGTTTTTAAGCTCATTGTACTATTGTTTATTATCCTTATATAAATACATTGTA